TTGAGAACAGTGTTTACTAACAGTTGTTCAAAGTCTTAATTATTGCCCAGTTTGGTACAAAATGTGGATGTAGGTCAATAATCAGCTTAAACACAATTTTTAGTCAAAATAAAAACTGTCTATTACAAATGCATACAATATGATATCAAAATCTTCATCAATAGATATGTGAGTTGATTAGTGTCTCTCTCCCCGTAGAAGTGTAAGTCTCCATTCCATCAGAGCTCATAAGTTGTCACCACCTGCTACTGAACAAGAAGACTGGTGACATTTTTAGCCACTTTTGGGTGTAGATATAGATTGCAGTGAATTTGTTTCCTTTTACTTTTTAGTCCCTTTAAAATAAACTCCGATATCAAAGTAGATCTTTCCTTGCCCCACTTAGGGCAGGACAGTGATTTTAATAATCCTTCCTAATTTATGGATAAGGTTTTGCTATAGAAGAGATTATTAGGATGCAAGGGGATGCTTATCTTTACAGGATTTGCAGGAAGTTTCACCTTCAGGAGAAGATCAATGATCTTCCTCAGCCATCACCAGATGGATCCTTCAGCTTAAAACTTTTAATTAAAATTTTATTTAATTAAAACTTCTGAGGAAATTCTCTATATAACATTTTAAATATGAAAGATATAGAAATGCAGAAAAAAATCCCTAAAAATATTTGAGCAAAAATTCAAAGCAGTCAAAATATTTCACTATTTTTCATTATATTTTACTGCTTATTCATACCAGCTTAGTTTCAAATTTAAGGTAATTTCAAAATTTAAACTAGCAGGTTAAAACAGCTACATTTTGAAAGCAGTTTTGAATGATTCTAAAAAATACATTTTAGAATATTTGCAAATATATTGAAACATTTGAAAATTGAGCCTGACCTCCTGAAGAACACTTAAAAATATTTTTGCCCTGTCTATGTGAAAGGAAGATTTATTTTGGAATACACATGGGGTCTATTCTTAGTTTGATGAAGTGGCTCGTTTTGCCAATAGATAATTTTTCTACCAAGAACTAACCTGCTGTTGGGGATGAGGACTCTGTGAAATTTTTATGCTAATATCAGAGATGTACATATTGTTTTAGAACATCCTGGATAAAAGGGATACTTGGGCTTTAAATTTACATCTTTACTGTTACAAAAGCATGTAAGTGTTATAAAAGCCAGTATCTTTCAAGTATATGGTATTTTGGTATGATGAGAAAAGGGTCTCTGTCTCTTTTTAATCTTCCAAGCACTTCTCAGCTTTTAGTACATTTACGTATCTCGTGCTTAAACACCTGAAAAGCTTTCTGAGGAGAATATGACTGGTCCAAAATGATGATGGAGTAATCTGAAAACCAGTGGTTTAGACAGCAGGACAAGAATATGAATATATTTATTCTATTTCTTTTTATTTGGGGGAGGGGGTGAAGTTTTGCTGCATCTGCCCTCCCCGCAGACACAAGCGGGCACACTTCCATGACTTGAGTTGCACAGTGAGTCAGCAACTGGGACCAGCCGTGCCGTGCCAGCGCAGCCTGCCGCGAGGCCAGCTCATGCGCGGTGAAGCATTAATCCACCTATTTTGCCTTTTGGATCTGAGTTAACCTCTCTAAACTTCATTGCACTGCAGTGCAGGAGCATATCTGCCACTTGGTGCTAACTTGGGAGTCTTCTCCTGTTTTTTTAATTGAACAGCCCATGTGGGACTTGCCTGTCTTTGCTCAGTCTTTCTTGGCCATCCTGAGGACACTCTGGTTTTTCGAAAATCAATGAAATGCTGAGTACTGGTTACAACTGACGTATTGTCACCAAGAGCAAGCCAAAGCTGTATACTCTTGCTATTATGATATTACTCAGTTTCCAAAAAGAGTTGCCTAATGCCATTTGAGATGGCACAGGGTGCCTGGGACATCTCACTAGTGCTAGCAAATACAACATGAGGAAACCCTGCTGGAGTGGCTGTAGCTTCTAAAACTGCACTAGATACTCACAGCTAGGCAATCGAGCCCTTTTTCCAATATCATAGCTGATGCCAGCCACTGATCGACTGGTTGCACCCCTTGGCACAAGTTTCCTGAACCTCCAGTTGAGCCCAGTCCCATCCATTTCCCCCAGCTGGCAACTATGGCCAGAGCTGCAGAGTCCCAGCAGCTAAACCAGTGGGGTGATGGCTCAAAACCACACAGAGGCACAAACAAAAAGGTGTTTGAGAACCTCCAACCTGACCTAAGAAGCAAGCCATCCAAATCCAGTGAGAGCTGGGAGGAAATGTCTAGTTTGGTCGACCGACCACTCCTAGATCTCTACCCAAATTGTACATGGCACAGGTGTCTGCATCTGAACTCCTATTAAATGGCAACTTTTTCATAAGCTGTGAAGTATGCAAACACATAATTACCGGATGAGCTTGAAATAGTTGTATTCAAACTGATTATTAATTTTTATAGATGTGAATAGGATTTGAATAATCTCGAAGGATGAACTACAGCTGCTTTTTGGAGCAACTAGAAAGTGTTGAAAGACAATAATAAAAAAAGGATGTTCAGTCTTCTTCAAATTCTGGAAACATCTTCTAAAATATAAAATATGAAAAAAACTTCTCACATTAAGCATACAGTGTAATTTTTTCATATTTTTGGGGGACTGGCTGACCTGCAAAACACGGTGGGTTGTTTCTATACTGTCTCACAGCTATGTACAGCAATCTTTCAGTTACTGTTAACCAATAGTGACATTCAGTTCCACTAAAAAAGTTAGAAACAGCAAGTGTGAAGAGACTATGTCAGATAAAGTTGTTTTCTCCCCTAATTTATGACCCATGAATCTAATTCTAAATTCCACAGGACTGAGTAAATGAGGCACAGCTTTAATCCATCAAATTAAAATCCACATTACCACAATCTGAGAAGCCAACTCTAAAGATCATCTTTCATGTTCTGTACAACTAGTCACTAAATATAAATTAATACACTGCAAAGTTTGATCTTGATAATGATGCCTACTTCTCAATGACACACTAAGGCAGGGAAATAGTATACCCATGGTTTATGCAGCCTTTATGAACAGTAAATCTTATTTCCTCTATATAAACATATACAAAATTATTTTTATTGTTTATTATTGTTATTAACTAACTGTGAATGTTATATTCTCTTTCTACATATATTTGTTTCTATATACTTCCCTTTCAATGAATGTTCTATAAATTTCTTTCTCCTCTCAGAAAAAATAATTCCAAATAAGGAATTAATCTACATTTGCTTTTTTCCTTCCCTTCTATATCTACAACTTTGTTTTTAATGATTCGTTAGCTCTTTCTCCTGCACTTGAATGATGCTTACACATATCTATCTACATTGTGTTCAACTTCAACCATTTCAGAGCTCTGATATTAGACCAAACACCATGGGTAAGTGAGTCTCAGCTTACTGTGCCTATTAAAAAATAAACATTTAATTTCCAAAGTTAGTAATGTAAGCTTCTTGCCTCAACAATACAGAAAGAAAGGTACCTTAAAGGTGAATTCACCCCATGCTGGTGCATGTCTCAGGTAGCTGTGACACACTGGTGGTGTGCGTGCCTTTCCAGTGGCTGCAGAAGGAGCCTAGCAGACCACTTCAGGCTGGATGAGATCTGTCCTGGTCACAGTGTTTGCTCTGCTCTTAGGTAAAGAAATGTTCCCCTTCTCATTTCTTTTACAACACAAATCATTCACCTTCTCAAGCAAATCTGCTTTCAAAAGTGCAATGCAGAGATGGTAGGCTCATATAACGATAACAGCTTTTTACAAAAAAGGCCTTTTTTCTTTGCTGGGTTGAGTATGAGCATGGACTGTGCCTACACAAGACCACAGCTGCTGGGCCAGGAAGACCAAGTTTTCTACGGCTGGGTTATACAGACAGTAGTATCCCAAAGGATGGATCAAACATAAGTATTATTGTTGGTAACACTGTGTGCAAAAGGAATAAAGAAATGGTGAGAGAGGCAAGTATCTTGCATTCCTTTCTTCCACCTGCCAAACTCCATGTGCTACAAGAAAATATCTATATATGTATCTGACCTAACTACCCAGAGGATAATTTGGTCCTGCAGTGCCCTGAGGTCCGCACCCTGCAAGCTGAGCCGGTCACTTTGATATAGCCAAAGTTGGTATTCACCTGAGGGGAACAAATTCTCTGTTAAGCTTTTAAGAAGGATGAAAGAAAAAGAAGCAAAAAAAAAAAAAAAAAGGAAAAAAAAAGCCCCATTTGGATATTTTTTTTTTAAAGGAACCAGGACTGGTGAACACTGTCAATTAAATGTTTGCCTTCTCCAGAGTCAATAGAAAGCTTTTTGTTTTGTTAGAATTTTGTAAAGGGACTACCTGCTAGCCTTTTGACCAGAGATTTGGAAAAATGAAATAGACGTGCATGGGTATTTTCTAAAATTACACCTAAAATCAAAAGTTTCCCTCCAACTGTAAGATTTCAGACATCTCCTTAATACTGCTAGTGGTAAATTTTAGTTCTTGCTTCTTGTATACGTATCTAAGATTAAGGACAGAACTAGAAAATACCCACAGTTACAGAATGTGGTTGCTCACAACGGCTGAAGCCAATAATCCATTTCCTCATAGTCTTGCAGCATTTAAGAAATCCCTCCATGGTCTCTCCAGTGGCTAGCAGCTGCCAACCCAGGAGAAACACCTCTGTGAAGCTAAGAGACCCAACAGGACTCTGTTTCTTAGGGACCGACTAGGGTGCACCACCTGAATACAAGTGTCATGAAATCCTGAAGGCAATAACAGCAGGGAATTGTTAGTCATTGAAGTGATGTCAGATGTTTTGGTTTTATCAGTGGTAAAATTAATTAACCAACTAGTAAAAATGTCTATTTCTGCTCACTGGTAGGAGTTAGCACAAATTATTTATGAGGATTACAAAGGTTTTCAGGGGCTGTGAGGTGTGCTGAAGTAGCTTTCTTGCTAGAAACTCTGTTAATTGTGTGTATTAGAGAAAAAGAAAAAGGTGGTTCCGACCTGTCATGCCTCAGTGCCCTCATATCAACATACACTGTGGTGGGATCTGGTCCAGATGTTCCCTGTAAACAACAACATCAGCTAATCAGAACCTGAAGGCTGGGAGGAGAAGAGTTTTACCCCCCAAATAACCAAATGTTCATTTCACTGCTAATTATGCTAATCAAATGACAAGTTATATTTAAGCTATTCACCAAAGCTCAGCTTTACAGAATCAGAAAGAGCACTGGAAAACATACCTACCGTCACGTACTTGTTACCTTGGCGTTCAGAAAAACATCAAGCGGCCATACTACTTAACCAAACACATGTCAACATAGGTTTTATTTGCTACAAAAGCCCAAGTAATCAGCACGTGGATACATACAAAAAATGTTAAACACGTTTTGCCATATAAAGGAACGCGGAAATTGCTGAGGAGACACAGTTTAATGGCAGAAGCACATGGTCAGGAATGTGAAGCATGGTTTACTGAGAGTCTTCCATACATGCAACAGAGAATACAGTTGAAGCTAAAGATAGTAAAGGTAGCACGCATGACATGAACCAATGTGGATTGGAGGTCTGTAAGCAATTATTCTGTTCCTTTTCAGTCTTCCACTGCATAATTTAAATCCTTCCTTTATGTCACAATATTTAGTTACTAGAAAAGCAGTAGACTAATTTTAGTTTCCTTTCATGCGGAGATGATACAGTCTTTTAGGCCTTTCCACCCACAGCGTTGCTGCAGTTTTGTAACCTGCGATGATCTTCCCTTATCTGAAACTTCAAAATCATCACCACTGAACATCATGTGAATTCTCAATGCTCCAGTCTAGGGCTCTTTTCTCTGCTGCATACCTCACGTCACTGCTAAGCAGAAAGCTAGAAGAAAAACACAACTTCCATTTTGGAACACTGGAACTTTGGAAATTTTCTTTTCAGCAGATGAATTCATCTAACCCTGGTAATCTAAGGTGCAGGAACTCCTTTATCAGTTATTTAGACGTTTACTACTTAGAACAGCACGCAACATCAACTCCCAATGATTTCTGCCGCGTTTGGGATATATTATAGAGTATAATTCTTCACATTAGGAATGTCTAGGATTAAATTTTGCATTTCTGCAATGCTGGCTGGTAGTTCCACAATTTGTTGAGCACTAAAAATTGCAATGGAGTTCCACAAATAGATAATTTTTGTATCTAAAGGGGAAAAGAGTTACCACTACCAATTGATAGTTACTGTACAGATACTGATAGCAACCCACCACCAGAGGAGAAAAAGAGTAACAGAGCTGCACATGCATGTTAGCCTCTTTAGCTTGTTATACACAATACAAGATACAGTAGCCTCTCTAGCTATTAACAACACGATTTTCAGTCTACTAGTAAACTCAGCAGTGTAACAGACTAGTGCTGAGTGGAGAACTTATTTGAAATATATGCAATGTTAAAAAAAAAACAAAACCAAGGAAAAATTGGTTATCTTTAAAAATAAAACTAAACCTGAATTGATTTACAAAATAGTGGAAACAGGCAAGTTTGAAAATCAAAGACAATCACTATGGTATTTGTTATTTTCGGTGTGAATGAAATAGTTAGAACAGACCGCTAATATTTGATGAAACCTGCATCCAGATAAAGCTATACTGGACTTGTTTATAATTTCATAGAAGGATCTGAAAATCCCCACATCTCCAGACTCAATTGCTAGTCTGTCCCACTGTTGGAAGCTGATAGGTGGGTATTGAGGGAACATGAAAATCCCCTACCTGCTCGGCCAGCTTCCCCAGCCTGTGAGGCTATAGCAGCAGGAATAGCAGGGATGAGGGAGAGAAGGAAAGAAGGTAACACAAGACGAAAATAATAATAAAAAAATGGGAATGAAGGGTGGGAGAAAAATAAAAGAGGAGAATGCAAAAAGCAGGGAGTAAAATAAAAAGAAAAACAATGTCAAATACAGGAATCTTACAAATTAACCATTATACCATTAAAGGTTAAAAAAAGTATAAAATGAGGTGTCAACATTTTAGTAGAGCAACAGAAGAGACAGCTGTAGACTGCTAACCTTCGACAAACAGACTTAAATGGTTTTAGGACACTACAGACAACGTTGTTAGTGGAAAACATGTGTCTAGCATACTGATTTTTTTATTTTTGTGTTTTGGTGAAGAAGTCAGTAAACATTAGGCCCTGCTATTTTAATGCACATCCTTTGAGACAGGGGTTCCAGGTCTGCCATTTCACTACTAGAAGAAGTTTGTAAGTGATGTCCCCTGGAAATTAAAAGCTCTCTTTTTGGAAAAAAAATAATTAGTACACAACAGAGAAAGATACTTACACCTTGTTTCATACAGATAGACCTGTTCCTAAAGTGAAATAAAATCAAGGCTTTGTGCACAACCTAATTACTAGAAGACCATAACTAAATGAAGTAACTTAGTCTATTTTCAATGATAAACAGTGTAATATGTATAAAGAACAGTCAACTTTGAAGCTGATAAAACCCCATCATTTCTCCACATTGATTGATAATGCAGCAAAGAGACAAAACACAGTGGTGACTAGTCCGAAGCCGCTACTGTCACGTGAAGCATCTAACACCACATGGCTGCATTGGGACTTGCCCTACAACTTGTGAAAATACACAGCTCTGAGAGCATCCCTCTCATCAAACTTCTGAATTCCAGCCAAGTTAAAGACTACAGGAAGCTGCCACAGCAGCATCTTAAAACAGGTTTATTTTGGATGCGGGGGAAGATGAAGCATTTAAAAAATAGGATGGATCTGCTTATTACATTGCTGCCCCAAAATAGAAATATTACTAATGATCCAGGTTGAACACTGCAGTGTAACTGCAAAAAAAGCAGGAGAACTGCTGAAATCCATCAGTTATATAATTCATTGCCTGTGACTATACTGCAGGTCCAGGGAGGACTCTTGAGCATACCAAAGCCTCATATGGCTTTCAACTAAGGAAGGGCTTGAGAAACAGCAGTGGAAGTCTCAGCATGGTCCTTCTGTGGCCAGCTGCAGCTGCGATGATACTCTGAAAGTGTTTCAAAAGAAGCAGAGACTTAACCAAGACCAGACTGACTGACTGAATTTGTCTGTGCACATTTATTTTGTAAGACAGAGAGAGAGAGCATCTGTAATGCTGGTAACAGGAACAAAACAATATCACTTCTGTTGTATCTGATACTAACTAAGGACATGCTAGGTAGTGTTCAAGGAAATAAAATGGGCCAAACATCATTTTCTGTCTGAAAACGGGTATATTGTAAGTCAAATTCCTTGGACTAAATAAATCTCCTGCCACGCACAGGCTGCCAGCAGTGAACAACCCCTGGTCCGTGCAAACCTCTGCAACGTGCCAGGCTTCGATTCTCTGAGAAAACACTGCAGGTCAAAACTGCACAGAGGACTAACCCAACAAGTCAGCAGTAGGGATGACCGTGTGCCAGCACTCAGCTTGCCCCTAATTTCCACTGAAGTCAAAGGCTGAGCGCCATGCTCTCCCTTGCTTCCCTCCCCAGAGTTAAAAAGCAGGAAGTAAGCAATCAAAAGTCCTAAGGATTTAAAAATAACTGTTGTTTTGGGTTTTGTTTTGTTTTGCTATTTAAGGCTGTGACCTCAATCTTTATTCTGAGTCTACTTCTGCTTCAGTGATGCTCAGAAATGGAATTTTTGACGTACACTTAACGATCTCACATATGCAAGCACAGCAGCTGGAACTGTGGAAAGAACTTCATGGCATGACTCATAGTAAAGGTGGGAAAACACAGAATCTGAGGGAACTCAACCAGAGCTGTACTACATTGCTAAGTGTGAATCATACCTCTGATAAAGTGCATGGTCTCCCGTTGCACTCTTTGCAGAGCTATCCCTTATTAATTTTAATATGGAAGATCCTCAAGAAGTGTGATCTATCACTAAGTGAAAAGAAACATTAATTTTAAGCCCTAAATTTATTAGCAAAGTTCCCTTTGCTAAACAGTGAGGGAGGGACTCCTTTCATGTAACTTCAGCCATCGAAGAAAAAAGTGTGCAGTATAAGGTAGGAAGTATCTCCTGATGTTGATGAATCCCATCCCAAGATGGGCACCTGAGATAGGCTGAATGAATCTCTCTCTTGAAGTATTTCTTTGATTCTACTGACTATAGATGGATATTGAATAACTCATGTAACCTTGCCATCCCACTTAGAGGTGACACAAAAGAAGCAAGATGAATCTGCTCTCCTGCCCCAGCTTGGGCAGATTTGTTAGTACATTTTCAGGGTTAACTAAGGAAAATGAACAACTTCTCGAAGTTTTTCCTCAACTGAAATTGAGTAGCAGGCCGAATAAAATGAAAATATTTATTTCAAGTGTTTAAATGGAAATTAGCTAAAATCCTAGAGAACCATCTGTGCTGTTCTAAGAAACAGGCTACTCTTCATATCTATTTTTCTCTCTCTCTTGAGAATGCCAAGATGCTAGTTAATGAGAATTAAAATATGCGGGATGCAATCTTTTCATCTCAGAAATCCCTGGACCATTATCTGTGATTATACAGCTATAAAAGGTCAGATATTAATGCTATTTAAGTGCCTAAAGATGGAGAGAATTATTTATTTTCAAAAGCACACCTCTCAAAATCTAGTCCAAAATGACTACATCAAAAGAAACATAGTAAATTTGCTCTAAATTTGAGAGGAAATGAATACAAATGACAATGCATTAGTCTGTCAGTGATGTTAATCCTGAAATTAAGATAATTCGGTAGACTAAGGCTCTTTTGTACCAAAGGGATTATCACAATGATTTCCTTCTTAAAGTAACCTTTAAAAAAAGGCCAAATTCTGCTATGAAGTTTTTATACACACACACACAGACACACACACGTACTTACACATACATGTCCCCCTCTTCTTTTTCAACAGTAAAACCTTTTTGGAAAAATCAAGATACTTTCCCCTTGGAACACTTGAGTCTTAAATTTGTCCAAAAATTTGGAAATGAAGCGAAGAATGTATCAAAGATCACATCCAAGCTGTGTTAGAGGCAGCCCATACAGAAGAAAGCCTGGATATGCTTTTTGCTGCTAAGTGTCAATAGCTGAATATAAAGATATGTTTAGAAAGCCGATTAGTAGATAAGTATATTAAAATGACCATAGAATAGGCTGGATCACAGTTATCCCTTCAGAAGACGGTGTTCCAGGAACGACATGCTGATCTCATGGATGACACAAATTGGAAAAAACAAAGCAAAGGCAGATGCTGTTGACTCAAACTTTGGAAGTACTTTTATGAAGTGTGAAGAATTCAGAAATCATGACCCATTTCTGGAACACACTGGAGACAACGCTAATTTCAGGAACATTGTTGATCAAGGATTAAAATTCATTCTGTTCCTCAGCCCAGAAAACAGAATAGCCCACAAGCTATTCTGGAATATTGGTAGCCATAAACTTCCAGACAGTTTGGAAAGAGCATTCAGTCTAATTCAGTATCCAGTCTTTGGCAGTGTCTACTACCAGATGCTTCAAAGGATGTAATCCTGTATCTTTATATTCTCTATCAAAATGACATGTTTTGTGGTGATGCTTGTAAGTAACATCTTTAGTAATTTTTCAAACCCCTTTAAAACTTGCCAAACTACCCATGGCTTAAACGTTTCAAAAACCATTCCACTTGGAAGGGTAACGTTACTAAATATAGCCTGTTCTGAAATGTCTTTCTGCATTCTGGCCACGCCACTCTTTAGACAGTGTATGGCTTTTAGTTTGACCTACGGACTGAGATACAACATCTTAGTAGGACTCAACAAAACCTGACACTAAGCTATAGGATCAGCCAGGCTGTTAATCACCTTACTGAAGGCTCTCATTCTGTGCTGTTCTTAAATTTGTAGTCAGTATCATTAATAATATTCCTTCAGAAAGCTATCCACTTTTACAGTTTGATTCAATAACTCTTTCAAGAATTTCTGTAAAGAGCCATCCAAGAAGCAAACTTCAGCTAAGGAGTTAACACAATCAAAAGGCAGATATCCATAGTCCAGCGAAAATCCAGCCTAACTCCATGCTGATTAGGACATTCAGTTTTTCTGCGTGTATTCAGCTTTCCTGCACATTTGTAGTGGGTTGACCCAGACAGCAGCTAAGTACCCATCCAGCCGCTTGCTCGCTCCTCTCCCAGCAGGACAGGGGAGAGGACAGGAAGAGCAAAAGCAGGAAAACCTATGAGTCAAGATGAAGACAGCTTCATGAGGGACAGAAAGAGAAAAAAAACCCAAGTGATGCAAAAGCAATCCCTCACCACCTCTCAGCAGCAGAATGATGCCCAGCCAGTCTCTGAGCAATGGCTACTTTGGAGGACCATCCCCGCCTTTTTTAATGCTGAGCATGGCGTTATATGGTATGGGATATCCCCTTGCTCTCCCCCAGCCTCCTTGCTGGGGTCATCGGGGTGGTGGTGCGGTGGGCAGAGTGAGAAACGAGGAAAGCCTTGATGCTGTGCAGCACAGTTCAGCAATACTTAAACCACTGGTGTGCGATCAACACTGTTTCAGTCACAAATCCAAAACACAGCTCCATACTGGCTGCAATGAAACAAGTCAACTTCAGACTAGGCAGGCCCAGTACAATATTACTTCCAATGAGGCATACTTGGGCATTGAACCTGGCTTACTGCTGCTTGGTATCACTCCCTGGTTTTATTATTTGTCCTGAACAAATGACTTATCTCCTAAGTGAAGCAGCCACCATGAACAGTCCAGTGATCACTGCAAGCCTGAAATGGAGATCTTCATTAGTGGCAAGCAAACTTCCCCAGCTAATTTGTCATTTTTATCTACAGCATCCTTCATGTCTGGTCTCTCCATGGACCAAAAGCCAGAGAAGCTCAGTTACTTTTCAGAAGTAGCTCCACCACAGCGGCAGGGGAAGACTGGCGTGCCCCATCCTGGTCTGTCGGGAAAGTCAAAGCAGTCGGCCTTGAGGATATGCCATCACTTCCCTCCTTCCCTTCCTCTGAAAAAGACATTCCATGGGCACTTCAAAACGGCTAAAGATACAGGAGCAAATTAGAAAACTATTGTTACCAAGTAACCAGCCCGTGTCCTTCTCCTCAGTTTTCCTTCTCTACTGGAGGGAAAGTTGTGTCCTTGCTGCCTGCTCTGCCCCTCCCAGCCAAGTATTGAAGCTTGGTTGGCTTGCTGACTGGGAATGCATGCCAACCTGCACCTGCTAACTGGCCTAAACTGGTACCATACAAATCGTGCTGCCTCAGTTGGGAGTGCCTGAAGATTTCCTAGATGTTTTCCGAGTTGTCCTCTCTGCCTTGTCATCACCCAGGACTCTAGATACAGAGAAAGACATGAAGAGGCCTGTATTCTTGCAAAGAAACATTCAGTAGAAGAGATTTCAAAACCTCAGTCAGTACTTTTTGTATTAAATCCATGACAAAAATACGGGGGAAGATACGTTCATAGACGTTTCTAATCTACAAGATGTATTTTTCTCTCGAGACTATTTATTAAGTTTTATTAGGGTAAAACTGTTTTGAAGGGTTCAAGTGCTGCTTTTGAGACTACAGGAGATTTTCTTAAACTTTTATTCCTGGGTAATATTTATGGCAGCAATTACAGAATGTCAAACTAAAGAACTCTACCTCTGTGACACAGAATGACTTTTAACCCTGCTCAGCTTTGCCGCCTTGTATGTATGATATTTGATAATAATAATTAGTCACCCTGGGCTGAAGGGAAATTCTGATGGCAGCCAGAGAGAAAGCAAGCAGTACTGGAGACATGGCACACCTCCTATGTTCATATGCTGGTAACATGCTGAACTACAAGGTCACTTTTAGCTAAGGTCTGATGAAAGACAGGATTCTTTAGTGATGTTGAACAGGGCAAGAGGCTAAGGCAGGCATAACACACAGACATATGGTCTGTGCTGAACCCGTAACCTGTATTTGTCATATTTTTTGGATAAAATAAAAAAAAATCTTTATGTTTACAATCAGGAAAAGAATAGCAAATGCCTAATTTGCAGTGCCACTGAGAAGATCTGTTCTGGCTTCCACACCTAGCCAATTATGCACATTACATGCATGAGAAATCCTTTAACGTAAACTACAAGTAACTGCCAGATTTGAAATGTGGGATGCACCATATAGAGTATAGGCAAGTTCTACAGGGAGACAGTGCCTTTGAGGAGGTTAGAGATATGGTAGGTGACCAAATGGATATGGAACTTCCCAGCCAATGCAGTTGTCAATGCAGAAGATGATTCTTATGTTATTTAAAAAGATTATTAAGCCAGGAATCATATTACATTTGAGTAGGACACCTGTGGCATAATTACAGGAATAATATGTGAAGGTGTCATACTAGATTTGGAAGGACAGAGAGAGATCAGGAGTCGTAAAAATGAGACAGATCAGGAAAGCATGTCTTAAGATTCTTTATCTATTTATCAAAGATCAAGATGTATATTACAGTCATGATAGAAACGACATTCTTTATTCTAGATAAGAGAAATGTAATAACATAAAAAATGGCTGAATCTAATGCCAGATAAATTTAAACTAGAAATAAGGCACAATTAATTAAAAATTTAACACCTTATAAAAAGGCAAGTTAACTTTCATCACTTGAAGTCCTGAAAGATAAAACAACACACTGTAGATCAGCTTAAAACTATTTGCTTGATGTAGTTATCACTGTATGAAAACCTAGAGGCTATTCAGAAATTCAGACCAGACAGCTACAGTGCTCCATCTGTTCTTAAAATCATGACTCAATAAAGAATCCCGGAGAATGCAAGTTAAATCCTATATTATCCCTGGGTACTTTCTTCTGATTAGTGGATCAAAACAGAATGAAAGAGATCTAGCAAAATAATTTTCCATTGTAAGCAATAAACTGTGTGCAGAAAATATGTCTAGTTAAATAAGTAATGGTTGGAATTATTTTCTAAACAGAAGCAATTCATTTTGTAACATACTAAAGTAAGCACTTGGACATTGGATTTTACATTACACGACTAAATACTATTTTTGGAACACAGAATATGCATTCTGTCTCTACTATGTGCTTTTCTGAATTACTGTATTCATGGGCAGAATAAATGCTATGATTGCAACATAAGAAGGATGAATAGTTGACAAAGTAACAGAAATTTACTACCTGTATGTGCAAGAACATTAGTACCACGTGCATTTTCTTAATATGTCTACAATCAAGCAGCCAAAGGAAATATAGTGAATGCTTCTTGCTGAAAACCATTTTCCTAAAACAACTTTGAGCTTAAGGAGTGAAAAATCTTACCTGCAAACATATTGCCAGGTTAACTCTACAGCCAAGTGATGTGCTGACAGCCCGTGGATGGAGACCAAGGTCTTTAAATAATTTTGAAAATGACTGAGTAAGAGCTATCCGAGGTCGTTCTTCAGCCACTACCACACATGTCCGTACACGTGAAAGGTCCAGTCCCCTTGCCTAAAAAGAAGATAAAATGTAACAAAGGCCACAAATGGGCAGATTTAACGAAAAACAGTTAGTAAGACCTAAGACTATTATGTAGGTATTATGATTCAAGAGGAACAGCAGAATAGAGGCTAAGCTGCCAGTACAATTTTCACCTTTCCCGCAGGCCGGATGGCCAGATGACAGTCTAATAGCTGTAGAAGAGCAGACATACTTGCTTGTCATCTCAACGTTAGCACGCAGGACGAGATGGGTATGCTAATTCTGAAGGGAGGGAATGCTGTTTCCCAATATTAATTCAGAAAGCCAGCGAATAATAGCAAATAGGAAGCAGTGTCTAGCCTTGGAAAAACTGATTTGGAAATTATCAAGCGAGGATGGTAAGGGCTGGACACATCATTAGTATCAGTATCCCAAGATCGAATTTATTTCAGTAGCATACCGGAAAATCTAGATGACTTCAGAAATGTAACTGGCTACGTGGCTTTTAATTCGGGGGTGGTGGGGGGAAAGAAGATACACACTTTCCCCATACTCCCTCCTCAACAAGGACAATCCAGTTAAACGATACAGTACTTTTAAGTATGTGATTATGTAACTACAGCGGCCAAAACCAAAATAGTACTTCATCTAATCAGGGAATTCATAAAACATAATATACAATATAATACTCCTTGGGCCTCTTGGATGTTTACACCTCTGTTTTCCAACACTTGCCTATCAACACAGGCTGCACACAGATCAGAAAGCTTTGGTAAATAGAAGCCTTTCCTTGATGTTTAAAAGCCTTGTGATCTGAAAGAGAATGACTGATACTCATACATAGCCTTTGGCAAGGAATAACACGGGTTCTGTGGAAGCTGCCCTTGCACTCTGACGGTTTTCTCCTCGCTGCAGACATTTAGCACAGCCGTTCATGGCAGGGAAGGCTCCCAAACACCACCGGGCAGGCGGCAGGTTGTGCAGGACGGCAGAATTACTCACCTTCAGTGACTCTGTTTGCGAACCAAGTCCCTTAGTACAAAGCTCCATGACCGAATAGGAACAAAAAGTGTCTCTCACTTTGTACTGACTCACAGCAAGAAGCCACAGAGCAGGATTGGTCTCCAGTTCTGAGGGAGGAATCAAAATAGACTGGTGTCCTGAATAAACGCTGTAAAGACACAAGATTCATTAACGCACACTAAACACCAGTGTGCACAGACATTTACAAGCCATGGGGCATTAGAATATAAAGTTTATCACAGCACTGGATGAGCCCTGTAATGTCTCACAGCGCTTTACAGGTCCAATAGTTTAACATGAAGTTTAACTCTGTTTTTTGCTATACCTTCAAACTCTATGAGGAATCCTGAGGAGTGCAGGCAGAATATGCTCCTAAAATACTAATTTATTTAAAATGCCTGTGGACTTTGCTGTTAGAACTGTACTGAGGAGAGCAAAATAGCTCAGTTATTAATGGTGCTAATAAACAGTATTATAATATCAACAAAAATTATGTGTTGCTGACAAATAATTAAGATTGAGTAATTATCATTTTAAGATACCTTGATTAAAAGAGTACTTGATTGCTTAATATGGAAATAACCTCTCTCCTGCTGAGGCAAGCAAGAGGTTTGCAATCATTTTCACGGGAGTAAATCTGGCCCAAATTTAACAACCCTTGTGGCTTTAAATTTATTCTGTGAAAGTTTTATGAACTTCTAAAACCCAAATATACTACATCTCTTGTTTATTGGCTACCCAGTGAGCGTAAGTATTGAGAAAAGATGCTTATCAGGGTCCCCTGAAGGAAACAATTATGTCAGAGCTAATTTCTCTGGTACCCAAGATTCTCCCCAAAGGAAAAAAATATTCCCAATTTGATGTCTTTATTTCCCGTGGGTCCTATGTTGTTTGCTCATTTCAGACAGGCAGATTTACCATCAATTTTACAGTCCTCTCACATCTTTATTTGTGATTTGTAGATATTTCAAATCGGAATGGTCATAACATAAAACCCCCAAATCATAGAAGTTCTGAGAAAGGACTATAAAGCCCCAGAGATTTATGATGCGCATGAGAGAAATTCATTTGTGACTTGAGAACTTGAAATGCCAGCTTGGTAAAGTAAAGCTGACGTTTTCAAAGCCAAGTGCCCGAGGTAAGACATGAAATGGAACTTTATTTTCAGGAATATGAGCATCTCTCTAACATTTAACATTAGGAAGAAGATACACACCTTTGCCATTCTTGAAGATGGGCTGCTCACGCAGCTTCCCTCCTTGGTGAGTGAGTGCCCCCACTCCCCCCAAACCCACACGAGAGTGTTTTCAAAAGCTGTGCAATTTAGAACAAGGTTCGTGTGACCTGGACATCTTTACTTGGTATGATAAAGGCATAAAAGGTGTACAAGTCCAGCCACAATGGCAGTTAATAATCCAAATAGTTTAGGTCTCTGCTGGAGTATGAGCCAGAGGATGTCATGGAATATGTACGAACTACAGTTCAAATAATTTCATTTATCACAGAGTAAAAATTTTATCTTTGACTGCTTGTCCACATTTACGCCACTCTTGATGATTCATGACCAGTGTCTTGCCACGAAGCGATGTGTTCTCGGATACGGTTGACATAACGACTATAGCACAGGACAGTCAAATGAAGCATTATGCTTTTATGTTACTTTTATGGAATGAGAATAAAGTATGACTGAACCTTGAGCATGTGCTTCATAAACATGTGAAAAGAGATGCTGGCAAAGTTACCCAAGCCTGAAAGGAGTATGCCCTGAGCTCAAGTGACAGATCAAACCCAGCGAGGGAGTAGTAACAGTTTTTACTGTAAATATTACCTCACTCTTTCTCAGCCAGTTTTTCAGAGAAGACCAAAAGGTCTTAGTTCGTTGCAAATTTAAAGTTAGGGCCCCACAAACAATCAAGGTGTGTGATCTGTCAGCTAAATACATAATTCTTACGAACAGGAAGCTGTAATGAGCTCCAGTCTGTACAAATACGGTATATAGAGATTCAGTATCAAACCCTTCCCCCTGTCCCTGAACTCCTCTAGCTGATGCAACCAACTTCAGGAGATAAAAAACCCTGCACAATAATAAACAAGCTGGCAGGGGGTCAAATGTGGGAGAATTATTACTCAGAACCACATTAAGATCCCCTAAGTGCCACTTATTCAAATGGACAGAATATTCCAAAATAAAAACAAAATCAAAAGAACAAACTTTATTCCTGTACTGAAGAGTGCCCACACAAACTCCACAGTAATAAGGTAGGAAAAAGGTGCACTGCTTTCAGTAGAAGAACAGAAAATTGATTCCAAGTGCACTTTACCAAAAAATGGATGTCGTAAGTGGTGGAATTTGGGAATACAAATTTACACTGAAGACAAATCTTTTCCCCCTCTGCAACACTAATGAGTGGGGGTGAACTGTCTCCCTCTCTTGATCAACTTATTCTGGATAAACAAGAATGATACTTGGGTTTGCTCTTAACCAACCACCATGCAGCAAAGCATGAGGATTCGGATGCAAAATAGCTGTATATTCTCCAGACTGAGGGAAAAACAACACTGTTATGATCAGACTGAGTAAAAAACTCACCGATTAGACAGAAATAAATGAAGATGTTGCTAGTACCTTTCCTGAGTTTTCTAATCCCTCAGAAATACTGCAGAGTTCAGAATTAAACTGCCGAGCAGCAGGAAATATCTAGCAGGAAGGAAACTTTCTGTGGCGCAGAACCTCAGACATGTGCTGCTCTTGTCTACAGTACATAAACCTACAGAAAGATGATACTATGCCTGGAAACTTGATGACCAACACAGGCTTTGCCTACTGACCTGTGGTTTAATAACCCATGAGTATCACCTGATTTGCTAGAGCAGTTGGTGGAGCTGGGAGAAGAACTACAAAGACATACTTCATAGGTGAATGTGCCAGTGCCACAGCTGAAGTGCTTTATGCAGCACCTGGCCACCACAATGTCAGTCATAACTTGGCTCACCTCAATCTCAGAAACATTATACAGGTTTTGTGAATCACTCCAAGCAACAAAACGTTCCTGGTAGCCACATATCTTTGCAAATGGGCAGACTTTATACTTCCATGCTAACCCCCAAGAAGCTGTATGTCACTGATGTTTTGATGGGGAGAAGCTGAGAAAAAAAGATTCGCCCTTGTATAGCTGATTGAAACATTTTTACCACTCCAGTGGGTTCAAATCACTGTGAGATGTTAGAAGGTGTTTGCTTAGTATGGATGCCAACAACCAAGCGGAGTACCACGCACTTGAACAGACTGCAGTTGTGGAAGGCTGCTTTGGAGACGCTGGATAAAGCCAGATATGGTCCCAAACCTATAGGAAGTTCTGTCCGTGCTGCTTCCATTTAATTCTAAGTATGGTAGAGATGTTTGGTAGGTACATCTAGGTATGGTACATTCTAGATATGGTAGAGTTAATCCTGAAACTGAGGCACTGAACAAATGCATCTCACCTTGAAACACAACAGTCTTCAAGAGATGGTTAAGCTGTCAGCTCATACTGGAAGCAACAACACCGTGTTGAACACTGTTGCATCAGGGGGATCAGATAGGATATTAGGAAAAGTTGGAGGTTTGAATATAAATTGTAGAAGCTAAAATTACCGTTCTGAAATTGCAACAATATACAACATATTGGAGTAGGCGCGAGAATTTATTAATATAAACACTGGGAAGGAAACTGAAGCGAGATTGTTTCTTCCATGGATGTAGAAATCTGTTGTCATGGAAGTAACTCTGTCTTGTGATACAAGTCTTACAACAGGAGTAGACAGTGCAGAACCGCAGAGACTATCTGACAGACCTGGACATCTGTTTATCAGTCTCCAACATTTTCAGAAGATGCAAAAGGAGTAGGCAAAACAGAAGACAAAAAAGGAGAGTGACTACAGAGTATCCCTGCATCACCTTGTCACCATGACTTTTGGGATGCAGACACAGAGTGAGATGCAGTGGCAGCTGAGGTGGGAGATCACCTCTTAGAAATCCCCCCCTTTTAGGGGACTGCAAAACAATCTGGGGGAAAAAAAGCATTCACGTGCTAGGTTAATGGTTGGACTTGATGATCTTAAAGGTCCCTTCCAACCTCAGCAATTCTATGATTCTATGATTCTGTGACAAAGCCTTGGATTTTGGCAGTAAGTGAAGAGCCTTATCGGCCTGCACTAAGCAAGGGCTGCCCAAGGACAGGAATACTCAAGTTAAATGCACCAGGATGTATTTTGGTATGACGGTGCCATCTGATCACAACACCGGTTCCACTGCCTGGCAGGCTGTTTTGGCAGCATACGGAGATGCCTGGAAGGACATCTTGGCAATTAACTGTTCCACTGAATCAAAGATTTACCCCATGTTGTGCTGAGGCAGATTAACAGTAAAGTCTGAGGTTTTATTATAGTTCCAGAAATTTCATCAGGGCAATAAATGCTGACAAATGGCACCTGCAATTTGCAATTGCATTCTGGCAGGCTGCTGACCTGTCACTGCCCATACTTCTGGTGTCCTCAGGTGTTACGATCTGCTTTCCCATTTAACTGCAGGAGGCAGGTAGGTACTGCTGAGTCTTATAAGTACATGCATTTAGTTTCTGCATTTCTACAGATGATATTTGGCATTTGGTGATGAGGGACAGGTATGCAAATTGGGCGTTTGGTATGGCCTGAAATAACTGAGTTGCCATGCCCATAATTCACAGTCTGTGAAAAGAGTCAGCATGCTGAGGGAACCTGAACGGGACTGAGCAAAAGCCTTCACAATCATCAGGACCAGAGCTTGTGGGAAGGATGGTACAGGCCACTGAGGAGAGTGTCTGGGCATACGTCTGACCTAGGCTTCACGGGACTTGGGCCAAAACTAAATCTTCAGTTCTGGAGACCCACTACATTCCCAAAAAAGGGGCTTTTAGAGAACAAGTAAAGGACCTCACACCACCTGCAGAATCCAAAGATGCCCAGCTGGCTTACAGTGCACTAACAGCATGACTGCACATGGTAAGCAGATAAGCAATCAGTACTGGGGAGAGAGAGAGAGAGAGAGATACCTTACAAAGAAGTCTAATTAATGTACAGCAAAAGGGGTCATTGTGTAGGGTGTGCACATTTTCCCAGAAAGGAAAAGATCTCACCCATAAATCTTGACGGGGTTCTGGTGCTCAGAATAGGTCCAGTCTCTACAACTTCCACAGTAGAGTACTGGGAGCTCGTGAGAGAGGTGCCATAACCCAGCACTCTGCTTTAACTCAAGCTCTGGTATTGGTACCCCAATCAGATACTCATAAGTCTTTGGTTAAGAGTGAAATGCCAGTATTTTGTTCCTGTAGTGCCTGCACCACCTTCTGGGACGGTGCTGTCTGCCCAGAATGAGAGCCGGAGGTTAATTTGAACTTCTTGTCACTCGCATGTCTTGAAAAGGCTTTAACCTCCCCCTTTCAGAAACATGTTTCAGCAGTCTCTGAGCCTCACGAGGGAAGCTTTCGAACATGGCTCCAGGTTGCTCCTGGGCACTTCTGAACTGATGTGTAACTTCTCATTAGGAAGCATGTTGTTGACGGCTCCTGAGCACAAACACATCACACAGCAGGACCAGATGTGGGAATCATACAGTCACGTGGTGGAACTTGGGGTGCTCAGGGCCATTTCAACACAAAGTCCCTTTATCTAAATACTTAAAGCAGGTGAGCAAGTTTTAAAAATTGGCTATGTTCATATCCTTCACTTTCCACGTCAGAATTATCCTTTTCTGATGTGGCATTTAAGGCTTCTTTGTGCAGTCTTATCTTTATTTTGCTATAAATGGGCTGGAAATCGGGTGAAATGCTCATGCCTGCCAGATATCTTCAAGTCAGCCTAACAAACCTAACAATAATTAATGAGTCCTAGCACACTGAAGTTTTCTACAATGCAGTTCTCATGCTAATGCTGCAATTCCTTACTTACTTCTTGCACAATTCCACCTGTTTGCTTAACAAGAAACCTTGCAGTATCTTGCTGCAGCACCACAGGGGACTTCAGCTTGTGGCTACGGAACAGAGACAGCAGGAGCAGCGCAGGAGAAAGCCACTTCACTGCACCTTACCTGGAAAGCCTTCCCGGGACCGATTTATAGCATTCACGCTATTTATTACATGGCCAATCTGGACCAGAAAATTTGGTTCCTGTGGTCAAGTCTGAGTCTTACTGACTTGCACTATTACAATCTTAGTTTCTGAGAATACATTTAAAATTTATTTAAAATTATTAATTTACTTAAATTTAATTTCAGCAAGGACACTTTTATCTTCCAGTAGTAAAAGCAGAACTGCAATATGGGTTGGCTTAGCTGAGCTAAAATGCAGGGAAAATTCTTATTCTATTGCATCACTCAGAAACTATCAATTAAGTCAGTCCTTACTAAAGAACTGTAGAATGCTCTATTCTGCCCCACAGTGAGCAGCATTAAGATAGGGACATCTTAATTTCAGGAGGCAATTTTGAACAATGGGATTTTTCATTTTTTTTACATTGGAGGACACTTTTTTTTTTTCCTTTAAAGAATGTAATACATTTTAAAATGTAATGCAACACAATTCAGAATACTAGGATCGTCCTCTCATAATGGATAAATGAGGTTATGGAAGAGAAAAACCCCAAAATAATGTATTCTTTTACTGAATCATCAGTAAGAACCTGTTAAAATCAGGAAGTTTTGGGTTTGTGAACTCGCATAGGGCTGATGACTGCTGCCACACCCAGGACGTGCTGTTCAATGTCAACGGTTCTAAGGAAACCCTGCTGGAGCATACAGCCAGTTTAGAGGGAATGTGGTCAATCCCATTATTTTTAAAATGTATTGCTCTGCTTTGCAAGGTTTCTTTTCTTTATTATTTTATACCCTTTAGGCTATAAAATAATAAATTTTTCAAAAGTAAAAACTTTGCAAAACTATGCAATATATTCCAAACTTACCAAAGGGCTGGCTCCATGCTCCAGCAGCTTTCCTAAGTAGCTTTGACCTCACAGAATGGGGCATTCTGGGGCACCGCAGTGGAGCAGGCCAGCACAACATCTAAGCACCTACAACAGGGGTAAAAGGTTAGTTCTTCTTTCATTCCTTAGTCAATGCCTCCTTTGGTCTAGTTAATAAAGGGATCAAAATGTACTTGTCATTTCAACTGCACCCAGCACAGGAGGTTGCTTTCTCTTCCCGTTGGGCTCCTAAAACGAAGAGTTCCTATTTAGCTCTCAAAACCCCCTAGCTGATCAAAAATTGAAGATCTAACTTCATTTCCATATGCCATTAGAAGTATTAATTTAGTTAATGGAGTGGTGACAGACAATCACAACTTTACAGTAGAATCCTCTGAGGTAGAAATCTGGGCTGTAAAATGCTGGGGAGGATTTTGGTATGTTGAACTACGAAGAGTAGTTGCAAAGCTTTAAGTTATGAACAGTAAGAGTCTAATACCCTCCAGGATGTATTTTTTGCCATCACATCAAATGATATTCATTTCTAAAATAGTAATGAAATGGAAATTAAGTTTGTAAGTGGAATTAATGAAGCTGTATCTGTTGTCAGCTTTCTCTAAATGACAGTTGCAATTCCAGCAGCCTGCAATTTTTCTGGTTTTATAGGAACAGGGGATCAGTGGCAAAGAAGAGATTGACACGATGGTTCATAAGATTAGAGCGTTGCTGGCCTGATCTCAGTTCCTTCAGCTCCCTTGTTTCCTTTTTCTTCTTTGAAAAAGCTACAAAATTTTCTACTCCTTCTACAAGCTACAGAGGGGCACAGACCTTGATTGCTTTCTCCCAGAGGCTTGCTGCCTTACTCACTTGCCAGCCATAAACAATCTTCTCCTCCTAAAAGGCTGAACACTTTCCATATTGGGAAGGACCTAAGGGCAGTAAATGCTTATTTGTTGCAAATAAGGTTCTGGAAGAAATAAAAACTTCTGTATTCAGGAGTGTCATGGGCACCACAAATCATGTGGGTTTTGGACAGGTCAACATTTATGTGCATTTTATGGCTCCATCATGACGTTGCATAGAAGTTATTCTTGGACGCTCCATATCCCAACATTATCCCATACAATAGCACCCTCCTTAGCTGAACTGTCCTATGGTGCTCTACAGTCTCTCCCTAGTCCCACAGAATGCACCGTGGCAGATTTGGCTTAGCCCCCAGCAGAGTGAAGGTCTAACAGTGTTCCCATCAGGGCATGCTGGAACACATAAGTCTACGTAAGAAATATTCAACTGACTTAAAAAAATCAACATTTTAAAAATTTAATTTAAGTACAGTGATTTAATTAAAATCTCAAAATTTATGAAAGGTTTTCTGAGTTTATTTGCAGCCTCAGTATTTTTGGTTTGGTGTTGGCGAAATAAGATGTTGAAAATAAATTATTTTTCAAAACAAAGAAATCTCTAATCCCTATGTAAAACCTGAAATAATATTAAGGCAAGTATAGTTTAAATCAAGAAGGACTGATCAAGAATGAATAAGATAATACTATTGGCCCATTTAGTATTTAATAAAAAATATTTTAAAAGGGAAAAAAACAGGCCAATAGCCTACTTTAAAATAAACAATACTTGCTGAAAACAAATTGTTGCAGTTTTTATCAAATAATGCTTCCTTCAGATATTTAGTAAATTGGTAAAAAGTTTATCCAGTCTATTTTCATTGCCCTGGATTACAATCATTTTAGCAACTAAAAACAGCAGTAGTGTTAACACCAAAGTACTTTCTATGGAGGGAACAAAAATGCCAGACTACTGTCGCTCTAAGATGTCTTCATAAAAATGTGCTCCATTAACACTCCCATAGTTCTTTCCCTTTGCCTCTGCATCAACCCAGCTAACTTTAAAAAAAAATAAATCGATAGAACTGCTTTCAGTGCTGAACTGTAATTTCCCTGGAGTATAGAGATTGACAGAATTGTTAAATTTCTAAACTTCTTATTAACAAAAAAGCTGATTCACATTTCACTAGAAATGTTTTTTTCTGATAGCTTTGCTACCGCCATAGAAGTACCCTCCTGCAAGTAAACACACTTCAATGTCTCTGCAAAAATCACATCCGTAAGTCCCACAAATGAGGAAGTCCCCAATATCTACTCGTGCTTTCAGATTAGAGAATGAAAAAGCGGACAGCAGGAAACCAATTCCTTAAGGTAATATTGGTAGAGCGCTGCCTTCATCAAATAAAACTAGCCAAACTCTGCAGAGGCAGCAGTAAAACAGCAGGAGGTCAATGAGCAGCCATGTTGATGCTATGCACTCCTAAGTCGAAATAACCTATGCCCGTGCCCCACTCAAACAAAGCATATTCTCCACACAGCACTCTCCATATAGCTTCCAGCAATTCCAACTGCCTATGTCACTCCCAGAGGTATTTTCTGTTCTTCCCATCCTTTTATCACTCACATCATCTGGTTTGTTGTGTTATAGTACAATGGACATGGTATTTCAAAAGGTTGAAGAAAAACCTCACCTGCAGAGGCACCAGAGGACAAACCCAAGTCCACAGTAGGGGTCCAAGCAGATAGCGACTTCTCTGGAGGGATAAAGCTCACACTGCAGCTTAATAGAACGACAAAAGGCACTAGTGGCTGCATGAGACATCTGAAAGACAACAGCAAAGTAATTAAAATGATCAACTATGTCATTCGGAAGGCTCATTCCCCAACTGCGCCAAGTGCTTAAATCAGTTACAGGATAAAGAAAACAAATAAATATTGACTTTGTGCTCGGTGTAAACACACATGTAATTTATATCTAAGAAAACATAATTTTCCTTCAAGAGGGTATCCAAATAACCGTGAAAGGGGAGGGGAGACAGAATGAATGATAAGTCTGAAGTGATTTAGGGAGAAAGCTATGAGTGGTTTAAAGATGTGCTCCAAGCTGTATGCAAAGCTAATGATAACAAGCTAAGCTTTCTGGAAGAACACAGGAATGAATGACTGTCGGATCTGAATGATGTATTTTGTTGATCATCAGTAACATATTTCTAAGTACATGCTTCCTAATACAATAAATAAAAAATGCCAACACGCTTTTTAAACTGAAGAGGATTTTGCATGGAGAACAGTAGTAAAGACCTAATCATTCAGTGATAAAGATCCCCAATAAACTTAGTAGAGGTTCTGTAAAATGTCTTCATGTTATCCAGCTCCTAATTGAGAAACAGGCTCTTAAAATCTTGGTAAGAAAACTCTCCGACAGAAAACAAGCAGAAAGTAGAAACAAAAAACCTGATCAAAAGAAAATTCTTCTGATTTTTTTTCTTCTAGTGTTAGGATGTTTCCCACACTCACCCATCCTGGCTTAGAAGTTCTAACTACAGTGGGAACAGAATTACATCTTTTAATCTTTGTCCTCTCTGTTAATAACAAGAAAAATACCCATGTTAGAAATATAGCCTGGATAGAATTTAACTCCTCTAACCTTTGATCTCTGCCACATACAGAGCTTGTTGCCTTATATACTGTTAGAGTCAATGGAGGGGAACAGGTACTCGGAAAGTAAAATTTATTTGACCATAAGGTGCATAAGGGAATAAGCCTCCAGAAGTGACGTTTTCTCCATTGCCAATGAGAGCCGTAACTGAGGCTGGACCTGTTCCAAGTGACACACAAGGACCAGCTCAAAACAGGTATTCACACAATGACCATCTGCAGTTTGCAGAGATTAATTCTGCTCTAGCTGAATCAAGACCACTTTTTCACAGAGGATTAAACTAAACTCTGTAGGGCCAGAACTGGTGTTATTCTGTGAATTTTTACATAATACTGGGTGCAAGTTACTGAAAAAGTTGAGAGCAAACATAAGTGGAATCTACCACTTCCAAAGGGATTGCAAAACATTTATCACCTTTTCAGAAGCCACCTAAGTTGTTTAGCCCTTTTTTTTCGTTTTAATTTAGCACTATTGAATTATGAATATAAGCCTTGTGGCCTCTTATGATCCTTTTATAATTAATTAATCACTAGTGATGGTAACTGTCTACATAAACCTGCAGAGTCAGTGATCTGTAGGCTTTGTGACCCAGATATCAGAAGCTAATCAAGAATTCCTTGACAGATTTATCTGTATTTCCCTTTAGCCACATTAAGAAAAGGTTGGTCGACTTGCCCTACCTTTGACTGTCTTCGAAGTTGTCCGGATACTGACTTTGCACAGTTAGTAGTCATTCTGCAAGTCTGATGAGGTGAAATTCAGACCTGACCTAATATGGATGATTGCATCTGAAATGATCATTTAAGGGTCCCTTTAGAAGAAATGAAGACTTATGTGACATTCACTCTGTTCAAAAATAGGTGTTTCAGATAAGTCAGAGAAATTACACCCTAAAAGTCCCTGTTTCTCTCTGTTTTTTCCTGAGGAGCCCAACGACTAGATGACTAGTCCACATCTGCAGGCATTGTGGCTATTTAAAGTTAGATGAAATGAATCTTCCAGGAGTGCCCAATCTGCGACCATTAGCCAGCTCAGCCATTTAACCTCGGGCTGGTCACTTCACTGCTCTCTGCTTCAAATTCTCCGTCTGAAATCTGGGAAACTGATGCTTTTTTTGTTTATGAAGTATACTGACAGCTTCTGAAAATAGATGGATGATGCCAAAGAGTATGAGAAATTCAATATAGGCTATAAGTGTGATATGTCAGCAGAGATTGCTGAAGCAATCATAATCCTTGGATAGGCAGCAAACAGGAGTAAGGAAGTAACAGGTCAAAGTAAGACAGTGATTTTACCTCTGCCTGGATAATATGTAAGTTAGCAGGTAGATAAAACAGCTTTGATGAATTGTGGCTAAAGGGTTAGATAAAACGACAGAATAGAGATTTAAAGAGCTCAAGATGCTTGAGCCTGTCAAACAAATCCATCAATGAATTTTTTGCTGCTTACTCTAGTATTGTACCAGGTGAATATAGAAGAGAAATCAGCAGTTTGCTTAATTGCATGGAGAATTTTGAAAACCAATGGCTAGCAGTTGAGTTGCAATAAGGAGGAAACAATGAATGGGCACTGGAACAAGTAGAAAAAGGACGACTGAGTCTCCTTTCCGTCATAAAATGGAAATAATAGAAGTGTCAGTTGAAGAATGCTTCAGGCAGACAAGCTAGTGGGCTATCCGCAGGGGTGTCGGAATGAAATTTTTCATCTGAGGAGGAGGAGAGAGGCTAAACTCGCCACACACAGTACTGTAGTGAGTACAGCAGAACTAATTTAATGTTAACGGAATCAATTAATGACTGCAAAGGGGAAAGCAATTCAATTTCTGTTACCAAAAATCAAGAGGAGTTACAAATCAGGAGCAATGTACCACCTGCCAAGTTGTGGAGACACTGAAGTCAAGGTAAGCAAGTGTTTCAGGGTTAGAAGGTTTGTAGATCTGTGCAGGCCGCTTCTTTGGCAAATCATCTAGTGAAAATAGAGAAAGAAAATGTGTGTATCTTACTCCCATGACAGATAGACCTCTGAGTGCTTGACAAATACGATGATAAAAGAAGACACAGAGGTCCCCTAGCCTTAGTACTCACCTGTATCCAGTACCGGAGGCCATGTTCTGACATCCACTGCTGCTGCCGCCTCTCGCGACCGTAACAATTTACATATTAATTGTGTAGTCATTAAGCAGGCAGAGCGACTCACCTAGGAATTTAAGAAATAAATAATAATGCAATGGGATACTGATAAATTCTCCCATGAAAATGAGCAAGACCATGATTTATTTTCTGCCAGAAGAGGACACAAGTATATTAGTCTTGTTTTCCAATCAGGAGGTGGAAAGATGCACAAAAAATGCAGCTCACAAAGCAGACAGTCTCATCTGAGTTTTACAAATCACATGCAAAATGCACTTTGAGAAGAGTGTTGTAGTGAAACTAAAGGAACCTCAATAGTGATAATGTGACTTTTCCAACACATTATGTCACTTATCAACCCAGAATGCCAGTACAGAACACTGTGACCAAAACATTTCCTATGTGATGGTAATATATCTTGATTTATAAACAGTATTTTCACATAAACCAAAACCTAGCCTGACATTCCTACGAACAATTTTACTAACTTAAGTCAATTTTGTGTTAGCCATATTTTTCCAATTCCTGTGGTAGTGATAAACCACTGGGAACTATTCTGATATTGGCAAAAGTAGGTCTAGACCAGAAATCGTGCAAGTGGCACTAAGAGATGAAATGGTGAGTTTACTGCAAATACCATCTGCACTGAATTTTAGATGACACATGCTGAAGGTATCCTCCTTTTAGATTTGCTATTTTTTAAAATTCATAGCTAGCAACTACAAGAATATTTCTTAGTGATTATAAAAATTCATATATTTAAGGAAATAATCAGACAAACATGAACACTGTTAATCACTGAAGATAGTACAGAAGAAAAAATGAGAAGATAGCACCATTCTTCTTCTCCCTGAATCTGTGCAAATATTGCTAGGAGTATTTTTTTCTTTAAGGAATCTGAAACATTTCATTGGGCACTGAGTTTCCAATATTCAACCTAAGGAAATCAGTAACCATATGTACACTAAATTTTACCACGGAGCAGAAGAGATCAGCTTCTGCTGACAGTAATCTCAAGGAGGTCAACTTTATAGGTCAACTTTAAGGAGCACATGAGGAAATTAGGTGCATACAAACACTGATCCAAGCTTTATTTACTTCCTCTATCCCCATGATTTCCCTGTATGGAGATTCTAAATATTTCAAGTTAAAAGTGAAGACAAATGAAGCCAGTGCAGCGTCCCTCAATCCAGTCATGTCACTGCCATGGCAAGGCAAAGTAATTCTTATGTATCTAATCTTAATCTATGAAAATCTTGATTTGGGACATGATGAAGCCATAAAACAAAAGGGATTTCAAGAGTTGGTGGTTACTAGCCCTCACAGGAATTATATTATCTGGAAGATCAGGAGGCTCATTAAAATACAGAATGTCCATGCCTGGAGAACAGAAAGTTGGAGGTAAACACATAGGGACGGTGGGAAGGAGAAAGAAGACATCTCAGTTCCAGGTTAGCAACTGCTTGAGATGGCGCTCAATAATGTTCTGTTATATTTTACTACTGCCAGTTCATCACCAAAACACAATTTTGTAGGCCAAATTAAGCTCAGAAGTCATTTTTACTGACTTTGAAAGGTGCTGTGTAGACATATAGCATGTCAGAGCAGGCTTTGACCCCATCACATCAAGAAATTTGTATGATTGCATTGGCAATGAAGGAACAGTCTCAGTATTTTAATTTCTACAAGGTCATCCCTCTCCAAAATGAAAGAAAATCTTGTGTAAAACAGAGCTGAGAGGCTTTTAATTCAAACTGGCTTTAATATGGCTAATAAATCTCAACATTTTATTTAAAGTTAGTCTATTGAAGGGACAATGATTACAAGTCAGCTTGGATCTGTCCTAGATTTTCATCATGAAACCACTCAGATCTAGTTTGGCTATTAAACATCAAAGGAAAAACATAATAACACATTTTACATCACTTCTATAATTTTAAAAACTGATGCTTAAGAACTGTGTGTGCCAAAATATTTAATAATGAGAACTATGAAGACAATAGGACAATTTCTCATACCTCTACTGATACTCTGTGGCATCTGATGCCATAAGGAAAGCCAAAAATTTTAACTATTGCTAGTACTTATTACTTGAAAAAATCAACATTAATTAGAAATGTTAAAATCACATTTCCTTCAGCTTGTTTTTCAGAGACTCAGAATTGCATTCAGGAGATCAGGAACAGCTAGATGTAAAAGGCTATCTCTCTGCAACCACTTTACTTCCCCGCATAACAAGCACAATGCAGTTATTTATGTGCAACAAAGACTAAACATTAGATAAAGCCAAAATCCTAAAAGAAAGCACTGAATGAAGAAGTCTGAGTAACGCTTCTCTGGGTGAGACAAAATACTGACCGACATCTTCACAACAGAACTTTGAAATTGCTTCACACTGCAGAACAATTAGATGTACAGAGCTGAGCAAAAAAAAATCACCATCAGGTCAAGCTAAGCTTTCCATTTGGAATTTTCTCATTAGTGTAGCGTTGCCAGGTGAGGAATCCTACCACTCTTGGCATAGAGCTAAATACAAGAAAGCACTTCAAATATATTTTTTGAAAGGAGTAGCATAACTGCAGCAAAACGTGACAGCAGAAGTCAGAAGGTTGTGTGCTATCAGGCAGTGTTGACTCTACAATGTATTGAAGTCCTGAATCTTTGGAAGGAATACAACTCTTCAACCTACACCACCACTCACTTAAGTCATCGTTCCTAAAGACTACGCAAATCCATCGCCCATTTAATCTACTTGTGCACTTTCAGGTGGCTGCTCACCTCCACAATCATCTTCACTGTAGGTAACGTGGTCGCTATGTTCTGGGGATGTGGAGGTCGAACTGTTATTGGCACACAGCCTGCATACAGGCATCCGTAAAATGCGGCAATCAGGTCTATTCCTGCATGAAGAACAAAACAAAAATCCTCCCCTGAAAATCAAATCATTTAATCACAGACACCTATGTCAGCATAAATATTACTTGGAACTCAACTCAGAAGGTTAAATGAGTGACTAAGCCCTTTAACAGACTTCTTTTTCAGACCCTTGTCAGTATTTGTTCAGCTTCACTGATTCCTTTCAATTGTACTGTTCTTCTGAGCATGAAAAACCAAAGGCGACACACAAAGCTGCAGCCAGATACCATCATTTAGGTGAATTCCACTTTTATGATCAGGAAGTAACCTGTTAAAAAGACTGATTTCTACAGATTAATTATCTTCCTAAACTTACATTTATAGACAAATGAGAGTCTATAAGAAGAGGGATACCCCAGCAAAAGGATGAGGTAGGATGATGCCTGTTCCTATCAGCTGCAGAAATAACATCTGGAGGTTTCATTAAGTACTGCCTTTCTCATGTAATTTTTAACCTCAGATATGCAGCTTCAACTTATCTACGTGAAATTTTACAGTTAAAAAGGGAGTCATGATTTTAAAATACTGCTTCTCATATAAAATTAGGTGATGTTCTATATAAATATTGACTGCAAGTGACAAACTGGGGACAGCACACTTCAGCTATCTAAGGAGGCCGAAAAGGCCACAACAGCACAAAGGTCCCGTGAATACTGCTGTTTGATGGCTCCCTGGTGCTGTACACAGGCTGTGATACGATGACAATGGGGGTTATAAAGGATCTGGAGTACTGGTAGGTTATTCTTCCTTCAATAAAATGCTTTATTCATGGGAAGTGAAATACAAAAAATAAAAACTGAAGTTGAAAATACTAGTCTTCTTTTGTGGAAAGGGTTTCCCATATTAACCGCTGAGAAATTACGTCTGTAAAGATTTAACCAGTATCTTGCTGCCCGTACAAACCAACTATCGCAATACAGACCTTAAATCAGAGTGCTTATTTCACCAATACACATGAAAAGCTCAATATAAAAGAGCAGCACTAAATCAGAAATTATTTCAAGCAAATGTCTAACATGGCACCAGTTAACACAAGCTAGTCTGGTCTAGTGGAAGATGTCCCTGCCCGTGGCAGGGGGTTGGAACTGGATGATCTTTAAGGTTCGTTCCAACTCCAATCATTCTATGATTCTATAAACTTAAAAGCCCTTATGTCCAAGGAAGAAAATCCAAGCCATAGAGAGATGTCTAGGTCAAAAATCTATAGAGAAAATAGAGATTATAATTTGGTATTTCTTAACCATCTGCTATTTATTAATCGTATTTCTACTCTAAAAAACCCCATGGATTGCTTCCTAGTTATTGCCATTTTTTCCCTCATGAAATGCATCACTTCCCAGAGGGAATTCAACACGTGAGTTTAAGAACACTCAGCAGATGGAAGATTTTAACAGAATTCTGTGCTCATAAAATAGTGTATTTCCAGCAAATTAAAAGAGAAGAAGTAATTAAATTTGACTGCTTATAAGACACAGGTTTTAAAAACACAGGTTAATCTTAATCTGAACCCAAAGAAATAGTATCTATGCACATAAGCAATGAGAAATTATTTTAAATATGTTCAATTAAGTTCAAAGAAATGTATGTAAGGCAAATACTTTGTGTTTTGCCAATTAACATGGATTGCAGGTTGGTAACACACCAGTGCAGCACTGTTCTATAGGGTCTTGATAAACTTTTGTGACTACCAAGATTCTGAACATAGCAGCTCTTTACCTGGTGGGTAAACCAAAGCCACGTGGTCTCCATCTTGTAAATGTCCCCTTTCCATCAACATGACAGCTATCTTCTCAGCTCGTTTATGTAGCTGGACACATGTGAGAGAGTTGGCTATTGTTCCCTGCACAGGAAGAAAGATAAATGTCACAGAAATGAATGCAATGTGCTGAAACGCTGTTTTCCTCTACACCTTAGAAGTTACTGGATGAGGTGCAGCAACAATATGTCCTGAAATCAACTTAAATATGGAAACCTTCAGCCTTATGCCAAACTGTAGCTGGAAGGAAGGAAGATGTTTGTAAGAGAGAGGAACATTCTCTATTCCCTTCTCTGTACCTTCTGCCCTCAACAGTGTTTTCCCTCTAACCAAGGGAGTACAGCAGTATGCTAACACGCTGCCCATGTAACCTGTACTCCTCCCCTTGCTACACAGGCAGCGTTCCTGCTACAGCCAGGAAAGTGCCTTTACGATCTCTGCCGCAATCTGGAGAATCTGTGGAGAGCAATCCCGAAAACTGCGCTTTGCTGTCTGCACGCTGGAGTGAAGCCAAGTGGCACAGAAGAAATACTTTAAAAGACAAGAGACAAAAGACACGGGAGAAAGCAATACTTAGTGACAGGGGAAAACAATTAGTCTGCAACAAAAGCTAAGCCCATGCATATAAATGAAATAGAGAAGAAAGGCATTTGTTGAATTTGAGTAGCTTCGGTCAGCATGAAAAAAACAGGGAAGAGACAATATGCTACAGAGTTTGGGTTTTTGGAACACTTCAAATAGCACTAAACCAAAATTATCAGACAGATCCAGTGTTTTAAATTGGATGAGTGTTAAGGTTCTTGCATTCCCTAAGTGTATATATATGTGTGTGTGTGTATATGCACACACACAAATACACATTCAGAGAAATATATACATCTGTATCACAAAATTCACTACCACAGCTGACACCTCAGAAGACAAATCTAAAAATGAAGGTGCGGGACAGCCTGACTGTGGCTAGAACTGGTCTGGCCAGGTCTGGGCTGAGATGAAGGGACAGGGCAGTATGGGAAGGGCTGCACCTCTGCCTGTGTACTTGTTCTCTGCAAAAAGAGGATTTTAGTCTCCAGTACCGCTATGATATACCTGGCACCTATCACAAGCACTAAGTTAACTTAAAACAGTGAGTCTGAAAAAAATTGGGGAAAAAAGTTAAGAAAAAATATATATACTTACTTAAAAAGAACAATGTATCAAAAATGCAATGCAATGCAATCAAAAATACTGTTATCACTATCCTTATTAAGAGAGAAAGCAAGAAGGTCTACTGTTTGAAAGAAATATTCTTTACACTCTATTTCAACAAGGCAAGGAATAATAAGTATTTGGCCTGACTGCACGTTTCTATCTACCATCATGACCCCACAAACCATGGCAGTATTTATTGACCACAGCTTCCAAGAGAAGAGAGCAGTTTGATGGAAGTCTAGCACTGGAAGTAGTGGCATGTTACCAGGCATCACTATGTGCAAACTCAAACACTGTCAACAAAAAGGACAGCTGAAAATAGAAAGGGCAAAGTCAGGTCTCTTCACAACCTTCAGCAGCCCCACTTACTGAAATGGACTTCAAACAATTTTAATCAGTCTTCTGAACAATGCACAGATTATTTCACTAAGAAAGCTTCCTCTAAAGACATGTGCAACTATATGGAGGCTGGACTAGGGATGGCTTCCATCTGTCTAGCCCTAAATATGGCCAAAGTGATCTGAGGTCTGGGTGTCCTTGTCACTGTGGACCTGCCAGTTGCCTGTTTGCATAGTCGTGGGAAAAAGAACCCTTTATATCCCCACATACATCAGAAGCACAGGCCCCACTGGCATAGAAAGGGAATTGCTGTAAATTTGTGCAAAACTTGTTTACGTTTAGGACTTCTGGCACTTGCTGCACATGAACCAGCAGAAAGACAGTGTTTATAT